CTGTTGGCTCTGGTCCGGAGCGCTGGTCCCACCTCGTTGCCCCTTTAATCCGGCATTTTCCCCGAATATTCAAACCTGATCTGTTCTTCCACATAAACCTTAGAATCAGCTTGTTTAGTCCCATTAAAAAAAAGAAAAGTTGGAATTGTAACTGGAGTTGAGTTAAACATCAATCCCAGGTCTTTTGATGCCAAGTTTAACAGTTTTTTTCACACCTGGCTGCCGCCCAAGTTTAGCTTACTTCTTCCCACTTTAGCAGCATCCTGAGAAGTGAAGAAATCGTTTGAATATTGCTACCAAATAAAGCTTTCCTTTAATTGGTCGTTCCTGGAATTTTGTTCCAGGTGGGATTTTTGATGGGGTTTTAATTCCTATGTGTTTATAGTTCAGGCCGTAAGAGGTGCTTTCAGAATGAAAGTGGTGTATGAAATGCTCTAAAGTGCTTGCGCTTGCTGTTTTGCTTTGTTTTATAACCTTTGGTACAAGAGTTGGCATTTGCAGGAAGTGCAGATGTTGGCTCCTGCTTAGCGAGAACTCTAAGGCCTCCATTCTCAGTGCGCACAGCCCACCCGCCGCTGTGCACAGCTGATCATTTTCCACTGTGAGACATTTCTGTGTCCTTTTTAAGAATTTTAATATGTAAGAGCAGGAAAACAAGGCGCTCTGCGAGTAGGTGAGCGCAGTTAGGGCCAGGCCCTGCCCGTGGCTCGGACTCACTGTCCTTGTCATTGGCGGCGTGTTCTTCTTTGCCCCTGACCTCCAGGCAAGTCAGCCTGCCCGGCACAGCCCTCGCTGATGAGCCGTAGCATAGTTGTGCCTTCTGCCCACTTCTAATTAAACTTTTTATTTGGGGATCATATCGATTCACATGTAGCCATAAGAAATAATACAAAGAGAACCATGTTTACTTTACCCAGTGCACTGGCACGGTCAGGATGCTGACCCGGATCCAGTCAGTGTCCAGAACATTCCATTGCCACCTGGATCGCTCCCATGTGCATGTATAGCCATACTGTTACGCTCCTGACACCTGGCAGCCACCGGTCTGTTCTCCAGTTCTAGTTATCTCATTTCAGGAATGTTATGTGAAAGGACCATGCGGTATGTAACCTCTGGGACTGGCTTTTTTCCCTCAGCCTAATTCTCCGGAGAGTCGTCCAAGTGGCTGTGCATATCAGGAGTTCAGTCCTTCAGCTTCCACGTAGCATTCCCTGATGTGGATGCGTGACAGCATGTTCGACCGCTCGCCTGTTGAAGGGCGCCTGGGGTGTGTCCAGTTTGGGGCTATTATGAGTGAAGTTGCTGTAAACATTTGTGTATGTATTTTAAGTGAACTTAAGTCTTCATTTCTCTGGGATAAATGCCCGCATTTGGTTTTTAAGAAGCTCCCAAACTGTTTCCGGAGAGGCCACACCGTTTACCCCACCACCAGCAGTGGGGGAGACCCAGGTTCCTGCGTCCTGGCCAGCGTCTGGGGCTGCCTCAGTTTTCATCCTGGCCGCTCTCACGGTGCACAGTGGCATCTCCCGCGGATTTGGGTTGTATTTCCCTGCTGGCTAACGATATTGAACATTTTTCATGCTTTTTTCTTCCATCTGAATATCCTCTTCAGTGAACTGTCTCCTCCTGTCTTTTGCCCATTTTCTAAGTGGATTCTTTGTTTTATTGTTGAGTTTTGGGAATTTGTGTGTTCCATTTGTTAAATGTATGGTTTTCAGATATTTTCCCTCTGACAAGTCTGTAGCTTGTCTTTTCATCTCCTTAACAGGGTCTTTAGCAGGCACGAATGCTTCCTTTTGACCATGGCCAATATATCAAAACAGCCAGTTTGTACTACGGGTTGTGCTTCGGGTGTCCACTCTGCCTAAGTGAGCTCTGCCGGGCCCCAGGTCCCCAGGGCTTTGTCCTGTGATCCCCCTGCAAGGTTTACAGCATGTGTGTGTGTCCCACTCGTGCCCCTGGTCCACCTCAAGTGCGGGCCTGCGTCGGCGTGAGACTCAGCTGCCAGGCGGCTACAGCACCGTCTGTGGACCGGCCACCCCTGCTCCTCAGAACTGCGACCAGCAGGGCACATGCGGGCCTGTCTCTGGGTGCTGTCTGTTCCACGTGCTCCGTTTGTGTGTCCCTCACGATACCGTGCTGTCTTGACGACAACCTCCCTAGTGAGTGTGGAGGTCAGGTGGGCGGAGTGCCCCTCCTTCGCGGTGGCTGCCTTACAGCCCCACTCGGGCAGTCCTGGCGTCTCTGGGTTGGCGTCCCTTGGTTGCCTTTTTTCATTCAGTCTGAGATCTTCCTGGCTGCTGGTGCGATTTTTGATTGAAACCTGGACATACTATGTTACAAGACTTGACACCTTACTTACACCTCTGTGTTAGATGGTTTTCACCCACGCTACTATGTTAGGGGAAGGGGGACGCCCCCTCAGGTGCCCCACCAGGCCTCTGCTGCCCCTCCCTGGCTCCACGGACACTGCTGGGTGGGGGAGGTGACAGTCCTGACTCCACTGGGCCGCCTCTGATACCCCGGCGGGGCAGGAACGGGCGCCTCGCTGCCCCATTACAGCTGGGCGGGGAGGGAGTCCAGCCTCCCCCTGTGTTTTCCCCGATGCTGCCTTGCTGGTGGGAGGGAAGGGGAGTGAGGCCACCCTCCCATCCTTGCTGGGTGGAAGGGTGGGGCCCGGCTGGGATAGGATGGTCCTACCACTTCCTGTCCTGTGGGCGGGACCTCCCCTGGGCCTTTGTCAGAGCGAGCAGCATTTGTTGGGGTGTTTTGGTATGTGCCCATTGGTGTTTCCAAGCTGCTGGCTTCTTCAGGTCCAGGTCTGGATGAAGTCCAGGGGACGCATGCGGTGTCGTCCCTCGGGTCGCGACAGGCCCACCCTCCTTTCTCCACCTTTCCATGTGGCAACAGGGTTTTCAGTGGCGCTGAGGGGAGGAAAGGGAGAAGGACGTCCACCCCACCCTCCCACCGCGCAAGTCCCTGCTGCCTGTTTCAGAACCGGAGGTCAGCGCATCAGAGCAGAATGGTGTGGATGGTTGTGTGTTGTTTCCAGAATTGATGGTCTGGGTTTCCTCGAAGCGCTGGTGATCAGCTTTCTCACACAGCCTCCACGATTTCCGCCTGCCTCTGGCCTTCATGGTGTGTCCAGCTGCCCTCCTGCCCTCCAGGCTCAGTGGCACCACCACGTGCCCACCTTCCTACCTGCCCGGCAGCCCGGAGGCCCTCGGGGCACCTGCCTCTGGCCAGGCGAGCGGTGGTCTTGCGCCCCTGCCACACCTTGTCTCCCACTCCAGACCTCAAGAACATCCCTCCTTATTAAAGCTCCACGTAACGGGCCCTGACAAGTGTGGCTCAGCAGGTCGGGCATCATCCTGCTAATCAAGGCATGTGCCTGGGTTGCGGGTTCAGTCCCCGGACCGGGCATGTATGAGAGGCAACCCATCGATGGTTCTCTCGTTTATCAATGTTTCTCTCCCTCTCTTTCTCCCCCACTTCCCCTCTAAAAATAAATAAATAAATAAATACAAATGTTTAGTAGTGGAAATTGCGAAACACACACACATGCAGAATTGCAAATACAAATGGTGAAGCCACCTGCCCGTCGGTTTCCATTCTGTGCCACCTGCTTTTTCCCCACCTGGGTTATTTTATAATAATAAATCCCGATGCTGCTATTTCATCTTTAAATACTTCAGTATCGCTGAAAGGTAAGTACTGGTTCCACACCTAAAATGATTAATAAGAATTACTAGATATAATCAGCTTTCTGGATGGTATTTATACTTGAACTTCTCCATCGGAGGGTCTGTCCGATTCATTTCAGGCCCTTGTCATGTTCCGCACTGTGCTTTGCACAGAATAGGTTTCCAGAAACCACATCTAGATGTAGTTAATGAATATAAAGCTGTAATGTTTTTAAAACTATCTGGAACACTCTGTTGAATAAAGGATTCTAAATAGACACTCACTGAAATTTCAGCAACAAATTTACCAGATATACGGTGAGATTCAGCATTATTAACAAATGGTTGTCACAGGAACTACATATATTTTAGACATTTGATGTATGAGAGATGTTTGTAAGATACATGCATGCTTTAGCACATTTTAGTCACCATTTTCTTAAAATTAATGAATTTGCCTTTTAGTGATTTATAATATCAATTTTATTTGTATACAAAGCAACATGTGGCTACAAAACTGGCAGATCTTCTTTTTCCTCAATTACAATTTGATGGGACCATTAATTACAGATTGTGTATTAGATTTTGCAAAGTATAGCCGAACTGTTTAGGAAGAGAAAACTCTTCCTAAGTTTGTTAAGAATTAGATAATTGGAATAATTGTTCTTTGAGGATTTCCTGTGCTTTTTCCTGCCAATAAAACAATGTTATACATGGCTAAGAAATTCAGTCAGATTTTAACAGTTCCGTGCCTTTTAGACTCATCCATGTGAGAGGCGACTCGAGAAGGAAAAGGAGTGATGAAGTGAAATGCCATGGGCACTTCTCTTTCCTTTGCAGCTTTGTTTTACTGCCCCAGCCAGAAGGCTGCCAGAGCAAAGATCGAGTGGCAGACAGGTTGGAGTCCTGTTTGGGTCCTGTGGTCATCTGCCGCGATGTGGTGCATCTTTGGTCTCTCATACAGGAGAGATCAAAGATGTAAATACTGTCACTTTTCTCCCTGGTTTGCAGCTTCCCAGAGTCCCCACCCCTGGAACAAGGCCACACTCTCCAGAGTGGCCCCTCATCTTCCTTGCTGGGACCTCACCCCAGCTCAGCCATCCCTCCCTGCAGAAGAGGCCTAGGGGTCCTGCAGTGGACCACGCCAACGAGTCGGGGGCACCTGAACATTCTGCCTGGGTGGCAGACCAAGCTGTCCTGGTTTCACGTGTCCTTTTTTAGTTTTTAGCCGTGTTGGCATTATTTCTGCAGAGGAGACTTACCTTGTGTTGCTCATGGGATGGACACACTCACGGTGGTTTTCTTGCTCTCTTTCAGACAGAAACAGTCTCCGCCAGTCAAGAAACCCTCCAAAGTACCTTGCCATGGATCTAGAAGATGAAGAAAACCTGAGTAAGACCTAGGCCTGCCGTGTAGTCTCGAGTAGCTGGCTTTCCATTAGTCTTAGTGTTTCTGGAACTTCATTTCATGACTCCAGTGTAGGGGGAATGATCTTCCTATGGCACAGGCTCCAAGCAGTGGCATGTTTTTAGTTTTCGAAACATTCTCTATTTACAGTGGGCATGTCCCCCGCAGCCACGTGTGTAGGGTTGTCACCCCTGTCATCATCCTGGCCCGACGCCCTTGTCTGGGAGGAGAGCGTGCCTCTGGGCATATATCTCCTGAAGCTGCACGCTTTGTGCTCAGTCACAGCCTGGTTACCACGGTGATGGTCAGATTTCCATCTCTGCAAATCTGAGATAACCTTTGAGGTGGATTTAAATACCTGGCCATTCGAATTAACAGCATATACGTTTTCTGTTCAAATACAGTGGATTCTCCCATATTGTGAAGGAAAGGGTTCACGTGAATCTGCTGACTATAAGTTTCCAGACTTTCAAGGTGTGGCCTGGAGCACCTCGGGGCCCTTCTCCTTCCCACACTGTCCTCCCCAGGGGACGGAGAGACGCCGCGCTGTGCCAGCATCCCCTCTCTCCACTGCTCTCTACGAAAAGTCCAGTAAACACACTTTTCTTCCATTTTATCTTTAATCCCGGGGAGCAGAGCATTTAAATAAGGCTTACATGTTCCCACAGAAGTTGGGAGCTTGTAGTAGGGAAATTGCTCCAAAGCCATCCTTTTTCTAGTACATGTATATATGTACATTCTTACTTGTTGTGTTTAGTTGCTGCTGAGAAAGAACGTGCAGGTCTAAATGATGAGTGACATTTTGTTAAGAGTAGTCATCCATGACCATAGCACAGTTCAGTCCATTTATCTGTGACTTCACCCAAACTGACCAGCTAAGGCCTCGGAGTGGGTGTGATCACACAGACAACCCAGAAGTTCACGCGGCAGAACGGCCTGCCTCCCGCGCAGGCTGCTCCGTGAGTTTGGTGGTGGATGGCATGGGGCGGGCTGGGCCTGCATTGTGTGGACTGCACAGGAGACACTGTCTCTGGCTGAAGTCTGTCCCCGTGGGATGGGCGCCAGCACGAGCAACTGACCAGGCGCAGTTGGAAAAGCACATGGCTCTGTGCCCTTCCTCCTGCTGACCTGTGCGTGGCCTCTAGCTGGCTGGGCCCCGTGACAGCCCGCTCCTTAGCTCCTCTTAGAAGCCTCCCCACGCATTTACTGGCCGGCTCCACTCACTGTCTCCAGTTTAGCCCACGCACTATTCCCTGCGAAGAGTGTGCATGCGGCTGTGCCCCGGCCTCCTTTCTCTTAGGACTGTGGGCTCTTGTCCATGGCAGTGGCTATCTGGTTTGGGTGAAAATGTCACCAAGTGTTGATTGTATAATTATCCCCAGACTGATCCTGTGGTAATGTAGATAAAGAATCCTGAATAATTTTTCTGGAAACATAAGCTGCTGGTTCAAGTGCTGAAATTTAGCGATGCCAGTCCTGTGTTTTCTATCATTTTGAAAGCAACAAAAAATGTTATCGTGATTAACAGTTAGCTTCATGAAACAAAGTAGCATGATAATGGGAAGAGAAAGAAACAAAGTAGCATGGTATGCAAAGAGAAAGGGACTAAGAAGAATTGTGATAGTAGGGGTAGCTTCCTCCACTTTTAATATTTTCTCTTTACCTAGTAGCATTTTTAATAAGATGGAATTTGAGTAGTATTTCAGTGCTTCTGAAGCAAATAAGAACTTAGAATATATGTGAACTGTTATAAAAAAGTGTACTTTTCCTATAATCTCAAGATTGTCAGTCCAATACTGATTATTTCAATCTCTTAAAGGAAAGCATTTGGTTGTTGGAGGTTATAAATATTTGATTAAATGCATGTCAGAATATATTTATGATGATCTGAGTGTCTGTGCGGCTAGTTCCATTTGGCAGAACCGCCAGCGTGTCCGCGGCCACCTGTGTGACGTCCTTGCTGTTTGCTCGTCTAACCTGTCTTGCTCTGCCTTTTTCACCTTTTGTTCCCTTGAGCACCGAAAGGAGTAACCTATCGAGCTTTTGCTGGAGGATGTTATAAATGAAAATTTAGTGTCTATTCCATCGGCTTTGTCAACTGGGACAAGTGGTGTGTGTGTGTCAGGCCCCGGGGGAGCACCGTCTGCAGGAAAGGTGTCGCTGTCTCTGATCTCTGCCGCAGGCTGGAGGCCATCCTCCCATGGGCTGTGCTTAAACCACGGTCATTCCTTACACAGCTGAATGCTGACAGCCGGGGACTGCGAGGACTTCTGCTGTGGCATTGGCAGCCAGTGACACAGACTTTCTGTCACATTAAGCCCTCCCACGGGTAGAGCCCATGAAGTTTCTCAGCATGATGAGGGTCTGCTTTTATATTACGTTGTGCAAAGGGACCCAAGGCACCGTACTGGGCGCCTATAAATGGGTTTATGTTGTAAGAACTACTTTGATTACTTACAGGATATATTGTGGATTTTCAAAAGCTAGTGGCAGGTCTTTAAATTCAGTGACATCAACATCCAGACGCCTGGTAGCCATGACCCCTGCGCTTCACGCGCCAGGTGGCCTGTGGGTACGAGCCAGGGAAACGGGAGTCGTTTATTGCTCCCTTTTATAAAAAGCTTGATAGACATGAAGGGAAGGGTAAATGCTTTCATACCCCATTTTGAAATTAAAATCATATTTATTTGGTCATGAACTTATAGAATCCAAAAATTATCTTTATTAATCATAAATATAAGCTGCCTTTAAAAGGTAGAATAACCAAATTATTTGTAAATCCATCAAATACTTGTTTTAAAACATTTTTTTAAAGTCAAAATTTCCAGCTTTAGTTAGGAAGTTATAGCCTCCCTGCAGCTTCAATTTTATATCTTCCTCATATATATATATTTTTTCTATTGTATAATGTATTAAGGATTCAGAGGTAAATCAATCCCCACATGTAGTGAAAAATTTTAAATGAATACTAGAAATGAAGCTGTATCCTTCAAAAATCATTTTTAAACAGTCAGAATACTTTACATGATTGCGTAAGCACATTTGTAAGATTGATTCATGAACTGAATCAAATAACTGCCCACATTGATCGAATATTTTGAGCCCGGAGAACGAATCAGCCTGTAAGTGCTGCTTTTAAACATGTCACCTCTTCTGGGAGATGCTGCAGGTCGGAGCCAACCATGAGAGTAAACGCCCCTGGCGAGGGGGAAATGCCAAACCACACGGCACTTGTCAGTGCTGCCCTGAGACTTTATTGTCCCACACTTTGATGCTTCAGAATATTCTCATAAAAATGATTTAAAAATTCACCTCTTAATGCAAAAGTAGTTGGTGATACTAAATAGAAATGGCAGGAGCTGTTAGTCAGCAAAACGTCCGATGGCCCAGGTCAGCTGAGGCCCTGAGTGGGTGGTAGATGAGCCGTCCCTCCTGGAGGGGCAGCAGGGAGTAAGGTAGGACACACATCACTTACCCAGTTACAAAGAGAGATAAAGGAATCTATAAATTTTGCATTTACAAGATCCTGCAACGAAGGCGTTGTAAGTTGCTCTTTCTGGGCACCGCAGGTTCGAGCAGCACAGAGGCTAAGGACAGCTGCAGTGCCGACCACGGGCCCCCCGGGGACGGCGGCGCTCCGGGGCTGGCCGACGGCTGCCTGCTCCCCAACGGGGGCGGCAGCGTCGTCAGCAGGAAGCGGCCCCTGGACGAGGGCAGCAACGGGCACGCCAAGTTCCGCCTGAAGAAGAGGAGGAGGGCGCCGGGGCCAGCCCTGCCCAAGAACGCGCTGATGCAGCTGAACGAGATCAAGCCCGGCCTGCAGTACACGCTGCTGTCCCAGACGGGGCCCGTGCACGCACCGCTCTTCGTCATGTCTGTCGAGGTGAACGGGCAGGCGTTTGAGGGCTCTGGGCCCACGAAGAAGAAGGCCAAGCTGCACGCAGCCGAGAAGGCTTTGCGGTCGTTTGTCCAGTTCCCCAACGCGTCCGAGGCCCACCTGGCCATGGGGAGGGGCCTGTCCGCCAACACGGACTTCACGTCTGACCAGGCCGACTTCCCTGACACGCTCTTTAATGGCTTTGAGACGCCGGACAGGTCGGAAGTGCCATTTTACATGGGCTCCAATGGTGACGACTCCTTCAGCTCCAGCGGGGACCTCAGCTTGTCCGCATCCCCAGTGCCTGCCAGCCTCGTCCAGCCCCCGCTCCCAGTCCCCCCACCGTTCCCTCTGCCCAGCGGGAAGAACCCCGTGATGATCTTGAACGAGCTGCGTCCGGGCCTGAAGTACGACTTCCTCTCGGAGAGCGGGGAGAGCCACGCCAAGAACTTCGTCATGTCGGTGGTCGTGGATGGCCAGTTCTTCGAAGGCTCGGGAAGGAACAAAAAGCTTGCCAAGGCCCGGGCCGCGCAGTCTGCCCTGGCCACCATTTTTAATTTGCACTTGGATCAAACGCCGTCTCGCCAGCCTATCCTCAGCGAGGGCCTCCAGTTACACTTACCCCAGGTGAGGAACCGTCGGGTCGTGGCTCAGTCCTGCTTTTAGACAGAACTTGGCTCCATTATCACTATCGACTTTCCATCTTTTGTCACTCTGTCCTTGCCACCGTTGCCAATGCCTGTGGCTCCTGGGGAGGCTTTCCTAGATCATGCTGGCCACGTGATCCCAGGGGAGCCAGCCCGGGGCCGTCACAGCACAGGGTGGGGACCCCAGAGTAGTGCTGTCCGTGCTGTCCGTGCGGGGCCTCGCCTTGAAAGACAGACCGTGGTCCCCTCCCTGTGTAGCTGCCCCTGCAGAGGTGGGGGGCATCCTGTTGCAGCCTTTGAGGAGAGGAGGGAGCTGGACCCCGGAACCTGCCCCAGCCCAGGGAGTTTTCCTCAGTCTCACTGGGATTTGGGGCACAAGGGGAGTGAGTCTGCCGGTCAGCTGCTGAAACCCACGGGCAGCAGGGCTCTGGGCTCCAGCCGGCCTGGCTGGCGGCTGCATCTCTGAGCCCACGGCGGTAGGGAGCACATGGCAGAGGGACAAGGGGCGCTGGGGGCAAGTGCTCCAGGGCCCACCAGGCATCTGGGTCTCCTGCACCTGGGATTCCCGACGTGGGATTCACATAGACTCCCTCCTGCCTGGCCAGAGTGGGCAGCCACTCTTACATTTGGCCTTGGGCCCCCACATCCCCTCATATCAGGGTGAACAGAGGGAAGCGTTCACGGGGGCTCAGATCAGCATCTGTGAAGGAGGAAGACTAGAGGAGAAGGGACAGTGTCACCTCCAAATCCTACAGCTCTGATTACTTATGTATTGCTTCTTAGGATTCAAATTTCTCTGGCCCACTGTAAAAATCAGTCTTTTAGGGAGACTTCTGGTGTGTGTATTCCTTCTTGTCAACATATTATTCAGTTTGAAGATAAAACATAGTGTTTTGACCAGAAAAACGAAGGACTCAATGTTGATAGGCAGAACGGCCTGCATTCCCTTAGAAGGACGCGAATGTCAGCCTGTGTTTCGCCTTTGAACCAGTCCAGGTAACCTGTGTGCAGATGTCCTCAGAGCTGACCAAGGTCCTCAGTTTTAAAAGAAGGAAATTTATTTTATTTTGTTTAAAGCAACCTAATACATCAGTATAACACAACATGCTCAAAGTGATGTACTGATTTTTTCATGAACCAAATAATTGTTTCCAATGTTAACCTCTTCCTGTTAGTCCATTTACAGTTTTACAGATTGTTGGCACTAGTTCCCAAGTGATATATTTTATTTTCAGGTTTACTGTTTGCTAAACTATGTCAGCTTGAGTTCAAAACATCTGACTTGACCTGTTTTCCCTGAAGGTGAACAGGGTCGTGTGTAAGAGAATGGCACCTCCCAGGTGCCAGGTTTTGCAGTGCAGATGGGTAACACGGCAGAGGGGAGGCAGAGGGGGTCTGTGTGTGCACGTGTGCATGCATGTGCCCTTCAGCCCCGTCGCCAGGCTGGGCTCAGTGGAGCAGTGACCGGAGCCCCGGGCCTGGGAGGGCGTGGGCTGGAGGGGCCGCCCCAGCCCCGCCCACACCACTTACGGTTCCACTGGTGGCAGTTTTGAGACTTCTGTGGCCGCTGGCCCAGTGAGGCCTGAGGGAGTGGAGCTGCTTACGTCAAATGACCCTGGTTTCTGATTCTTTGCCTTCCTGGTGTTCGCAGTGGCACTAGAGAGTTTAAAAACTAGGCAACGTTGACCACATGACGAGTGTGAAGCACCCCGTGAGCAGAGCCTGTTGAAGTGGCCCAGCAGAGCCTCAGCGTCTCTCCGCCCCAAGCGTCGTTGTAGGAGGCGGTGCTGGGGGCCTGGCGGGGGGTGTGGGGGTGCCGTTTAGGAGCACATTACCTCGTCGCTATACCGCCCCCACATTCAGAGGGAGAGGCGCTTCATTACCTGTAGCAAATGAGGTAGTAACCTCTTTAAGGGGTGGAAGAACCGCCCGTGTGTGCAAACGCCAGCATCGAACAAGTGAGCGTGCGCAGAAGTGCCCGGCCTCCATCTGAATTCAGGTGAAACTCTTGTGCTTTCCTCTGAACATGTGCAGATACGCCTAACCCTCTATGCAAAGGGAGTTTCATCTCTGTCTTTAAGCTCTCGTTATTTTTCTCCTTCCGTGTAAGTTGGAATGTGTTGTCCTTCATCTTTGGTACCCTCGCCCCTGTGTGGTTGGACATCTGTTTCTGTCTGTGGTCTCCTCTGTGCTCCCATCTGTTGCCTCGGGGCCCCTGCCAGGTGCCAGGTGCCAGGTGAGGCCCCTGGGCCCCGCCTGGGCCTCCTGCCCACTCTCCCCTGGGGCTCGCCGGGATCTGCTGGTGCAGTGGCGGGAGTAAAATTTCCTGACATCTATGCTTTTTCCAAATAAGTCATTATTTAGGACGAGTGGCTTTTCTATTCATTTTGGGAGTGTTTTATTAGGAGCCACGGTGGGGACACTAGATTTGGCCATTTGATTATCAAGACAAGTGTGAGATGGGGGAGGGGGGGTGTAGGCCCAACGTGCCTCTTCACACACGCACACCGTTATGCACTGTTTCCCAGAGCACCAAGGGCTCACTTTACCACGATAAATCGAGTCATAAGAATGAGATGTGTCCCAAATCTAACAGATATGTTAGCTTCTAAGAAGCACTCCCTGCAGGACAAGTGCTGTCGGGTCTGGTCTCACGCCAGCTGACGTGTCCGAGCCTCAGCGGACACCTTCCCTCGAGCACACCCTGCTGTCACTCGGTCTGAGCGACCCTGGCCCTTCAGGCTCCAATCAGTGCCGGACTCTGAGAACCTGGCTGAGCCTGGGCACTTTGTTTCAGGTGCTGAAACAATGGAGACATCTGATGGGCAGGGGCCTGTGAGGGGGAGGTGCTGTGCAAAGCTTACGATTCTTTAATTTGATCTTGCTCCTAACTGCCCCTTTCTCCCGCCGGCGACATCGGGTAGCACAACCAAGGGCGTGCTCCTGGACTTGCCGGCCTGAGCTGGACACTCGCAGAACATGGAAGGGGGAAGGCACTGTGGCCACCCACACCTCGGTGTCCTCATTGGAAGGCAGGCTGGTGCATTGTGGGGATCAGAGGGGCGGCAGGGCATGCCTCTCGTGCACTAGCCCAGGCTCCCCGGGGCCAGGTTCTGGGCTACCCTTGTCCTCCAGACCCCGATGAAAGGCTCCAGCCATGGCCTTTGCGCGCTTCTTGGGATGTGTGTTTCCATTGAGTATTTTGGAGGAAATACACACGCACACACGCTTGCACTTGTTTGACAGATTTACTGTGGGATTCTCTAGGAGAGGAGCCACCTGTGCCATCACCCTTTGAAGGGAGAGTGTGCTGGTGTTTGCAGGCAGGTGCAGGTGCCTAACCCCCTGCTGTGGTCCTCAGGTGTTAGCTGACGCTGTGGCCCGCCTGGTTCTGGATAAGTTCGGGGACCTGACGGATAACTTCTCCTCCCCCCACGCACGCAGGAAGGTTCTTGCTGGAATCGTCATGACGACAGGTAAACATCTTGCCCTGTAAAGAGCTCTCACTCTAACAGGAAAATTGTCTTGTCCTTCTTCAGAATGTCTGCCACCTGCAAACGTGGGAACTGTACTTACATTTTTTTCTCAAATGTCCATCTTCTAACCTAAGTTGTTTTTATTTGGAGAAGCACTCTGTTTACACTGGATTCCCGTGGTCATGTGTGCGTGGAATGGAGCTGCTCAGAAAGCTGCAGGAGATGTTAATTCCTGCTTCACTGGAAAGCAGGGCGTGTCTGAGTTATCAGTCAGCATCCCTGCTGTGGGCAGGTTTCTGTGTGACTGTGGGGGAGAGAGGACTCTCCAGCAAGAGTCAGAAATTGCTGGGGGAAAAGCATGGTTTGGCACAGGAAGAGGAGCCCATTGAATTTGTTAGAAGCTCCTGGTCGTGGAAGGAGCCCATCCCCAGGCCCTCTTCCCGCACCCAGGAGCGGGGCCTCCTGCTGCATCTCCACAGCGACTCCTAGGAACAGGAGCCACAGCCTGACCAGTGCCCAGACACCGTAGTGAGGCAAGGGGATTCTGGTCATTGGAGAAAGAACCCCCGCTTTCTGTCACGCGGGCCCCCTCCACTGGCGGCACCCACGGCGTGTTTAGGAAGTAGGCCCTGCAGGACAGGGAGCGAAGGGTCGCAACCGGCGGGACTGCCTCTGCTGGCCAGGAGACAACGCCTGCGGCTCGGCTCGGCGGGGCGGCTGTGCTGCCCTCCCCCCGCCCCGCCCCCGGGGTAGTTCTCTGTCCCCGTGGGGAGAGGGCGCGATTCTGTAATCCTCAGCATTGGTCCCCGGTGTCCTAGCGTGACAAGTCTTGAATCACAAGCGCCCTCTACCATGATGGGTGCGCTGTGGCACTGCTGAGCTTGTGTCTGAGGGGTGCAGTACGGAACTCTGACCAGGGACGTGGGTTTCAGGTTTTCTGTGATGTTTGGTGCCTGTCTTCCCCTCCCTTTTCTCTCTTCACGTGTAAGTTTAAACAGCTGAAAGGGGGACGTTTCAGCGGCTGACAGCAGCTCCCGAGCAGGCCCTGTGGCTCCTCCGCAGATAGAGGCGCAGGCGCAGGCCAGGGTGGGCGTCTGTCCCGCAGCCCTGCTCAGCCACTTAAGGAGAGGCAGCTGACCTCATGGCAGTGTTTGCACCTCCGAGTGACACCCCTTTGGACGGCTGCTCGGAGCCACAATGGACATCTGCAGGCAGGACTGCGCAGCCGGGGGCTCGTGGTTCTGGCCTCAGGTGGCCTCCACCCGTTGAATGACCTTGGGAGGGTTATTGACCCTTCTGTGCCTCAGTGTCCTGGTCTGTAAAATGGAGGCCGCGGTCGTATGTACCTTAAGCTCATGAGAGCGAAGCGTGAATACCTTACCTGGTAGACCAGCTCAGTGCCCGCCTCGGGGTGGCCGCCATTCTGTAGCTCATGGTGACACAGTTTATACCCAGTTCAGGGCCTTCTCAGCGAGTCTGCAGTACGTGGTCCGCCAACAGATTTACCATCAGGGTGGTGGTCACTCTTCTGGAGGTTCCCGGGGGCTGAGGGCTTCCCTGCAGCACAGTTAGATGGGGACAGGGACTCCAAACGGCCCACTGTGAGTGGCTTGTTTTCCTTCTTGCCCCTTCCTTATTGCCTCTTTAGTGCTCTGATATTACTTTCAATATTAATAACTACACCCCTTAGTCTACTTTCACGTGGTACTTCCTATTTGTATCCAACACGGACTGTTCAAGAAAAAACTGTTACATTCCGAAGGAAACAACTTCCGAGTTTAGAGCCTTCACACTGAATCGTGAGGAGAGTTCACTTCCGGGGGTCTCTGCAGAGCTAGACCCTGGGAGGCCGGCGGTCGGCGGGGGTGGGGCCCGGGGGACGTGAGCACGAGCTGAGCGCTCTGCAAGGTTATACGCGGTCAGCCCTTGGGGGCACAGGTAGGCACATGGCTGTGACTTAGAGGAATGGTCTCTCTTGTTTTCCAGGCACCGATGTTAAAGATGCCAAGGTGATATGTGTTTCCACAGGAACGAAATGTATTAACGGCGAGTACATGAGTGACCGTGGCCTTGCTTTGAATGACTGCCACGCAGAGATCATATCTCGGAGGTCCTTGCTTAGATTCCTTTATACACAGCTTGAGCTTTACCTAAAGTAAGTCTAGTAAGTAAGTAAGTAAAGGAAGCTGTTTTAAAAAGTATTCACCCCCCTCCCGTCAGACAACAGTGCAAAACTTTCACGGAGAAAATTCTCAAAATAGTAACTTTGTCAGCAACAGCAAGCTTGGATCCCATTTTCCCATGATGCTCCAGCTACAGATAGAGTTGGCTAAATTACAGCTCACATGCGTATATACAAACGTACACATATGCACACATACATAGAAGCACTGCAGATGTCAGGTCTGTGTATGACCCTGTGCTTTTGTTTCACACAGCCTGATATCCATAGAGCTCTACTGCCTGGTACACATGGTCATTTTATTCTGGTCACTGGGCCTAAACTCAACCCACCATGTGTCTATACTGCTTTTTTTATAAAGCCATCTCTACACATGGTCATTCTGTTCGAAGTCAGCAATGAGAAGGAAAGAAGATATATTCACAATGTCAATGACATGTCCATTGTTGAATGGACAGGAACTGTGCGAATTACTGTAAACATGTAAAATAAAGAGCCCAGCTCAAGCCTCTCTTTACCCCATTGAAAGCACGGGCCTTTGAAACCGCAATGAGCTGGGATACACTGGATTTTGACTGCATGCAGCCAGAAAGTTTATATTGCGACTTGTTTCCTTTCAGTAACAAAGACGATCAAAAAAAGTCCATCTTCCAGAAGTCTGAGCGGGGAGGCTTTAAGCTGAAGGACAGTGTCCAGTTCCATCTTTACATCAGCACCTCTCCCTGTGGGGACGCCAGAATTTTCTCACCACATGAACCAATCCTGGAAGGTACGACAAGGTTCTTGACAGTGAGCAGCTTTTCAAAATTTATGGCCACATAGTAACAGACAAAAGAATAAACTTATATTAATATCCTTTTTTTTTTTTAGTGTCAGCCTTGATTGTATATTTGAGGAATGTATAAAAGCATGAGGTTTTACTTTTTAATGAATAACTAGTTAGAAAACTTGAATGAATGAAAGTGTTGATTCTAATAACCTAAGTAATTGGCATAGAGAGAGGATGTCAGATAGGAATTGCTTTTGGCACTTAAATTTGGATATTATGTGTCTCTAAATCAGAGATGTACATCCTCTTCCATATTTCTGATGAATTTTAACTTAATCAATGTGTACTTCGAGTATTTGGCTGAAATTCCAGAAGCAGGTCCAGACGAATGAAAAAGGAGGAATTGTTCTATTGTATTTTTCTGCTCTTCTCTGTCTACTAGTTCTAGTTCTTTTGTTTTATATGAATTTGTATCCACGTCTCTTCTCCCAAGCTTAAACATTACTTATTCTGAATAGAACATTTGATTATATTATGCTCCTTGATTATGAAAGCAACACATACCCACTGTGGGAAATTCCTAAATATTTTTAAAATAAGAAAGAAAATCTAAGTCACCTGGTTCACGTGACCCAGAGGTGGTCACTGTGGACACTGTGGACATTTGCACATGCTTCCTGCGTGCTTATTTCTGCCTCCCTGGGGATTTTTTTTTTAATTTAGTAAATTTAATAACTTAATAAATTTAAAAAATATATGGGGGAAATATAATAAACACTCCAATATCCAACACCTAGCATTAACAAATATTAACATTTTGTCCTATTTACTTTAACTTCTTTTTAATGATAGAAATCGATCACTTTGGTTAAAAAAGAAGCCCTCTTTGTCCCCAACCCCTAAGGAGGCCCCTGCCGTGAATTCCGCTTGTATTATATCCTTCCTATCCAATTTAATGTGCTTTTACTTACGTGTGTCCTATAGGTACAGACTATAACCACTGCACATACAGGCATACACTGTGTGTAAATTTATAGGCTGTAGTTGGGTGTGTTTCTCCGTGAGTGAAATAGACGGTCTCCTTCTCCCATCTCTTTCTCAGAACCCGCGGACAGGCACCCGAATCGCAAAGCCCGAGGGCAGCTGCGGACAAAAATAGAGTCTGGGGAGGGGACCATCCCGGTGCGCTCGAACGCGAGCATCCAGACGTGGGACGGCGTGCTGCAGGGGGAGAGGCTGCTCACCATGTCCTGCAGTGACAAGATGGCACGGTAGGGGCCCCGGGCTCCCTCACCCCTCCCCGCTGCGCCAGCCACCCCTGCTGGCGCTCAAAACAGTCAGGTCTGTCCCCACTCCCCACCCCAGTGGTCCCCGCATTCTCAGAATGACTGAGGCTCTGGAGGGGATCCGGGGCCCTTGGAGGGGATGAAGGGGGGCCTTTAACCGGGAGGCTCCAGGCTATCCATTGCCCTTTGTTGTTACTTCTGTATGTGGCTTCGGACGCATATAGATAGATACGCAGCTCCTCACGCCTCATAGATGCAGCTTTAATGGCCACACTCACTGCTCAGTTAGTATTGGAGGAGGTGGTATTTACATGTTAGTAATAATGTGACACCCAGCCCAGGGGTTTCGCCGTGAACACGGAGAGCACCTGCTGGTGAGCAGGCTGAGGGTGGGGTGCTGCAAACGCGCATCGTGCTTGCCTCCCCCGAAGTGCTGTTCTTTCAGGGGCCTTTACCCCCTGTTTAGAGAGCACTGTTTCTTCAGATGCCGGCCTCCGTTCCAGCAGTTCTTTATCTTTTAACAAACGTTTATTGGAAAAAAACTAACGTGGGCAAATGGCAAAAAGTTTTATGGTAGAAAAGCACATAAAATGACAATCTCCCCTGCGTCCGAGTTCTCCGTGGCCCGTTGGGAACGGGCCCCTGGCCGCCCTCCCGGCCGCGGTCAGAGCTGGCACATGTGTGTGCCGCACACCTCGTCAGCTGTTTGGAAGCCTTTGTCTTCACTTTCTCTCGTGGGTCTTGTCAGGGGACCACAGAGCCCACTCCCACCCAACACAGGTGCCCACATTGTGTGTTCATTTATTACATGCCCTTTGCGTTCATTTTCCATGTGTGTGCGTGTCCTTGAAAAATATGCAGTAGTGTTATTTGGGGGCATTTATGTGTATATGGTTATTTGACAGAAATCATAGTGTGCTTCAGATCCCATTCTGCACCTTGCATTTTCACTCGCCCCAGTGTTTGGGGGACTCTTGCCGATGCTGTCATATGCGGCCGTGGATCACTAATACATCACAGCCACGGCCACATCACGTCCGTTCCCTCCCGATGGAAACATGGATCTCCTCAAACCCCCTTCCCGGTGCAGCCTGGAAGTCCCGAAAACGCAGCTTATTGGAGGCCTCGCTCCCCAGGGGTCGTACGCGGGTGGACCGTCACACACGGCGACCTCACACAGCGCTATCGGGCGTGCCCAGGCGGTCGGGAGGCCAGCGCCCCCACGTCTCTAGCTGGACTCTCACAGTTTCAGTGTGAGTCTCTCTCCCCACTGGGAACGCTGGGCGTCCCCGCAGCCGCCCGTCTTGCTCCTGTAAACTTCCTGTGAACACCCTGCCTTCTGCCTTTCAGATCTCATACCCATTTCACCCTTATTTGCAGAAGTTCCTTTTATAGTTTGTGCCATAATCCTTAACAGTTGGAGGTGACGCAGTGTCTTCTCCAAGTCTTTCTTAACTTCGTGCCATCTCTTATGGAATAGAAACCGCTAATTCTGATGTAAATTTATCCATTAATTTGTCACCTTGTGATTTTTACTTTTAGGATCTTACTTAAGACATACCCTCTGAAATTAAGGGCATAAAAATATTCTCCTGTACTTCTTTCAAAGGCCTTTATCATTTTACTCTCACATGTAGACCTTTACCACATTTAGCTTTAGTGGGCCAGTTCTCCCAGTACCTTCTGTCGAATAACCTGTATTGTCCCCCTGACCTGCGCAGGCCCCTCTCTGACGTACTGAGCTCCCTCATGAGGATGGGTCTCCTTCCAGACTCTCAACTCTGCCTTCGTCTATAGTTAGCTGTGAGTGCACAAATTTTATAGTTATTTTTCTGACATTTTAATATATTTAAAGTTCTGGTCAGATAAGACTCTCATTCTTTACTCTTTTTTTTTTGTTTTTTCAAACTTTTGGTAGATTTTTGTGAACCTCTGTTCTTCTGTACGTGTTTTAGAATCAGCTTGTCAGATGTCTCCAGATGTCTAGCTGAGATTTTATATGGAATTGCATGGAAATTATGGATTGATTTGGAAAGAATTGACATAAAGTTAAATCAGTCCATCCATGACTATTGTGTATCTCTCTCCATATTTAAATTTTCCTTTATGTCATCTGTAGTTTGTCACAAAGATGTTAGGCAATTTTTAACAGATTAATTCCTAGAACTTTATACTTTCTGTGTTAATGTGATGATTATCTTGTTATCTGCTATGTAGTCTGTGTAATTATTGTTGGTGTAGACAAACACCATTGATTTCTTTTTATTGTGGTAAAACATGATATAAAATTACCACGTTACACATTTTTTTTTAAGATTTCTTTTCTTATGACCAGTTTGAGATTCACAACACAATTCAGACGCAGGCACAGGGATTCACGTACGCTCTCCACCCGGCCCCACGCACAACCTCCCCCAGCTGCCCGCCCCCACCGATGGTCCGTTGGTTACAGTTGATGAACTTACACTGACGCATGATGATCACCCCAAATCCTCAGTTTACATTAGGAGCACCGTTGGTGGTGTACATTCTGTGGATTTGGACAAATGTAGAATGACATGTGTCTGACTTTCTTTGTAATTGTCAAAAACTGGAAGCAATCCCAGTGGCACCACTAGAGCGGGGATGAACAGACGAGGGTTTCTCCATGCAGTGGCACCGCGCTCAGGCGCATCTTCCTCCTCCTCCTCCTCCTCCTCCTCCTCATCGTCTGATACACATACAACATGGACAAATCTCGAAATCATTATTCAGAGTAAAAGAAACCAGGCTAAAAAAGAAGTGCTCACTCTGTGATTCCATTTGTGTAAATTTCCAGAAAATGCAAACTGTGCATCCAGTGTGCAGAAAACAGATCGGTGATTGCCCAGGGTGAGGGCGGGGACCAGAGTAAGAAGGGACAATAACGGAGGAATCTTCAAGGTGTGAGGAAAGCTTGGGGGGTGATGGTCCCCCGGGCATATACAAATGTCAGACTTACCGAATTCTGTGCTTCAGTATGTGCAATATATTGCATGTCGGTTATACCTCAGGAGCTCACAGAAGAAGAAATCACAGTGGCAACTAGAAAATGACCATAAGTTAATGACAAAAGCACCACAGCAGTGGGTTAGAAAGAGAACATCAGAACAAACCCAACTGAGGAGAGAGAAGGAAACAGTTACCCAGCAGGTAGCGACCACCCAGGGTCAGGTCTCAACAGGAAAGTGAAATCAGCAGAGCCCTGGCAGCTTTGACCAAGAAGAGCCGTAGGAGGACGGCCAGACCGGCGGAGGCCGAAACGTGCTGCAGGCGCTTGCAATGGAGGGTCAGACGACTTCATCGCCAATAGCACAACACTGAGATGAAATTTTAAGTTTAAAGAAAAGCGTCCATTTCTGAAACTTACTCAAGCGTAGATAGAAATTTGGAATAGAATTATAGTCATTAAAAAATTAAACCGGTCACCCCACAGCCCCAGGAAATGTTGAAGGACTCCGGAGAAAGGAGGCAGGTGTAGGGGGGAACCTGTTGCCCAGGTGGGCCTTACGTGAGGTCTCCACGTCCTTGGGGGCCAGTCATCCCGCTTTCTCTCGTCTTTTCTAAAGGTTAGAACGGCAGGGAAAGGTGCTCAAGTGGTGGGGTCACTAACACATCTATCTCCGAACCAGACAAAGACGGTAAAAAAGATAAGGTGATGAGCTGTCTTCTATTATAAAACAGGACAGGTGGCGGGGGGCTGAGAGGCAGCTGGGCGGGCCCCAGCCTGCGCCCAGGGTGTCATCTGGAATGGGGGATCAAGGCCCTTGCTCAGAAGAAGGGACCCAGGCTGTGGAGTGGCAGCTGCAGCCTCTGCTGCAGGCGGGGCTCGGAGATGAGCGGGCCAACAGCCTGTCCGTCTGAACAGCAAGAAGCCCTCCATGCGGACGCAAAGGCGCGCTCCCAGTCAGTAAGGGCCTGGGCTGAGGGCCGGCGCCTGGCAGTGTTCATGGCTTCCGCTTTGCAGGCACAGAAAGCCCAAGCTATACAGAAAACATGAGTAAATTTGACTGAATTGAAAATTTGAAAATTGAAAATTTGACTGAAATTTTAAAACTTATTTACCAAAACCCCTGTAGATACAGTTGAAAGAAAAGTCATGTGTTGGGAAGAGTTTTGGATTTCCATAAGCAGTGAGTGAGAACCCAGATTATAAAGCAAACCCCACAGCTCAGTGGTATGGGTGTTGCTGGAAGGGTCTTGGCTGGGGGTCACGTGAATGTCTTATGTCGCTTTGGAAACGAGAGTCACACATGTGCATGTAAGAGTCAAAACTCACAGACGGGCACCTCTGCGAGCTGCGCCTCCCACTGTACTGATGGCGCCTCATCACAGGAAGAAGCCAGGACAAGCCAGGAGGGAAGGAGGAGAGATGCTCCTGGAAGAGACAACAAGGGACCACGGCCGCAGCCTGCGCCGCCCAGCAGCTCTGTCACCTGGCGTGTGGGTCCCGCACCACGCAGCTCCCCAGTCCTACAAGCCACGCCGATTCTGATGGGCTTGGTCAGTGCAGCTCCATGGGCTACAGGACAGTCTGTCTGACTTGGCTGCAAGTTGGGGTTCCCTTGTCCCCCTCTCCAGGCTCAATAACTTGCTAGACTAGCTCATAGGACTCAGGGAATATAGTTACTTAATTTGCCATTTTATCGTAAAGGATGCGGGTGAGGAACAGGCCCCTGGAGGAGAGGCCTGGTGGGGGCCGGGGGCAGAGCCCTCCGTCTGCTCCAGCGCCGGGGGTGTTCGCCCGCCCGGGAGCTCCCCGAGCCCCCAGGGTCAGGTTTTACGCAGATTTCCCTCACGTAGCCACGACTGATTAAATCATCGGTCATTAATGATTAACTTGATCCCCAGTTCCTCTCCCCCTCCACTAATAATATGGTCAGTTCCCCTGGCAACGGACCCCCATCCTCCTGGAGTCACCTCATTTGCATGAACTCAGGTGTGGTTGAAAGGGCTTAACACTCACC